TCTTAAACTTCTGAACATAAGACCAAACTTTATGATGACTTCATGGCAAAACACCCAAGACTTCCATTTCTACTGGAAGATCGAACACCACTAAATAAAAACCCTGCTTCCAATGTCCTATTGGTTTCTTGTTACTTCTACATGGAAAGGTCACCCAGGGCAGGTCTGAATCAATATGCAAAATAGTTTTTATTATTGAATACACAACAAACCACCATCTTTGAACCTTGCCCTTTGCCCACACACACACACACACACACAAACCTTAAGGCACCAGAGGAAATGCAGGTGTTAATGAGGGCATGGAACGGTGAGAGGAGTCTGAGCTGCCCTTGGCCGTCTCCCCCCTCGGATGCTTCTTGCTCTGCTGTAAGCGCTTCCCTCACCCTGAAACACATAGTCACAGGACAGCAGGGTTAACACGACACAAAGCCTCATTTGTGCTACACTTAGACCAACACCCGCCTTCCAGTTACACAACAACAACAGCATCCCTGAGCGAAGGGGTTGCGTAGAGGTTAAACTCAATTACACAGAGGAGGGGGGGGAACAGATACAAAGTGAGGACTCAGCGACGGAGATAAAGAAAGTGTGAATACCGTCCCAAGTAATCCCATTTCTCTTCATTCACTGTGCACAGACCTCATGATAGCCTTCATTTTCTCTATCTTTGTTTGTGTCTCTTATCTCCCTCTAGTCCTTTCTCTCTCTTTCTCTCTCTCCAGAACTGCAGGAGCCCGTTTCATTTTCTGTATCTCTGCCTATCATTTATTTACTCTCCTCTGGCATCTCTGCTCCTGTCCTCCTCCCTCTCGTTCCCCTCAGGTACCTGTTGCTCTGACAGACTCTCTCCAGCCTGTTGCTAACAGGACTCCCGTCAACCTTGCGCCCACTCACGAACAGGGCGAAGCAGACCCTGCGCACCAGCCAGCCACGATACCTGCAAGAGAAAACACACGATTTAGAGAGAGGTGCACGGCTGAGTGCGCTGGGACTGAAATATTTTGTTTGCCTGAGCACCAGATAGCATCGGTACCTGGTCTGTGTCTCGTTGACGCTCAGCAGGTTTCGGAAGCCAAGCGAAGAGTTTTGTCTGAGGTTGGTGCGCTGAGCAATTACAGAACAACACATACAAACAAACAGGTGACTGGGCCGCAGAACGGACACAATCCACGACACGTGCAGCTCAAGGACACGATCCGACATCTATAAGTGCTTCTTTAATTTCAATGAGCTCAGTGTGTCATGAGAGTGGAATAGTTTCATTGTAAATCTATAGCACTACATTACAGGAATTCAATTAGCGAGAACAGTAACATCGTCTGCTTCCTGCTTTTAATTTCATCAGTCTTATTTTCTGCCGTGTCTTTCATCGTCGAACTGCGATGCTGCGCACTCACCAGACTGTCTGGTGTGCACTGGTGGCAGCATTGGCCCACGGTTGGTCTGAACTTGCCCAGACGGGGAGGCGCAATCAGCTTTTTCTTGATCTTCAACCCCAGTGACGACTGAGAGGGACGGAGACACAACAACACAACACAGAACAGACATCAGAGAGTGCAGCCACAACCACACAAGTTCCTTAGTTACACCTCACTGAAGCTAATGCCGTGTCCTGCAACAGTCCTGCAATAACCTTTACGAGGGTTATAATGTGCAGTTTTTATTGAAACTTTAGATTTTAGAGGGACCGATACGCCCGTATTGTCACCGTGCAGCTGCAGCTGGTGGTGCTGTTGAACTGTATTACATTACACTGAACGAGTTTTTATTACTTTTTCTTTGACACGCGATAAAAAGGGCAGTACGGCAGCCACGTCAATAAAAGACACAAGAGAAAAAAACAGCACGTAAACGCTTTGATCCTTCGCTCTTGATTTCATTTTGACTTTATTAAGTTTTCTCTGTTCCTGTGATTGGTTTAACTCCGGCTAATAACTAGCAGTGCAGTAAATATTAATACAGACCTCATTTTAGATCCAGTATCGGCATCTCGGTGCAGAGTAAACATAAACAAGCCATGCACTGAGCAGGCCAGACAGCGGACTGTATACTAATCAACCAGACCGGGAGGCTCCTGCAGCAGGCTGACTGCTGCTCACCTCCGAGTGTTCGTATCGGAGCCTCGCACCAAACAGCCAGAACACCGACTGATTATCAGGCTGCACGTGCGGTTCCAGGTAGGAGTCAGACCGAGCGCTCCGTTTAGACAAAATTAGCTAATGAATTTCTCGAAATCAATGACACTTTCTCGCGGTTGAACGACGATGATGGATTCGAGAAAACAGCAGCTGACTATGAAGCCAAGAAAGCATCGACTGAAAACACAAAACATTACTGTAACGACAAAACCCGGATCGAACTATCAATAATTTAATTTACCGTACTGATTCAAAAGTTTAAAAAAAAACAGGCGAGAGAAGTAGAAACAGTGGCTGGCATGACAATGTAGGGAAAGCTTGTGGATTATGAGGCTAAAACCGTGTAGCGGCCTCCGAACAAACAACCCGATGAGAGGACTGATACCACTTCTGTGTCTCTCTTTTCCAAAGAGGATGAAGAAATCTTTTGATCTTAACTTTCTGGCGGCTGATTAATTTCTTAACTTCATTTGCTCACAGTGTGGTCCAAGAATAATGTAAACGTTACACATTTACATATGTTCTACGTAAACATGATTATTTGATCCACGCTGCAAATAAAACTCATCGCCGGGATGTGAATACAGATACAGCAGAAGAAACTCCACAATAATAATAATAATAGTGAAGGAAAGTAAGAATGTTCAAAACTCAACTTTAGGAGTAGTTTGATGAATATTTATCAGTTTTATACCCAAGTGTTTGCTCCTAGACTGACAGCTGGCTGCACAGCATTGTGGGTGAGTGACCTGCTGAGTGTATAAAAGCAGCAGTCAGTTGCAGCTAATTATATGATAGCAGCAACAGGGAATGATGTGAGCAGAGCGCCTTAAAGATGCTGCTGCTGGCTGGAGAGGTAACTGTTCTGTTACTGCTCAGGTTAACAAGTGTGTGTCTAAATTCCTTTCACACGAGGGCTGAACGAGGTGGAAAAAAAATGTTAATTTGATGTTTTATTTTTTTTTACAGAGACTGCGATTGGATTTATCAGATTTTTAAATTTTATTTTAGATTTTTTGAAGTTTTAGCTCAATATTCACCACGTAACAGATGTTAAAATTTAAAATCTCATTATCACATGAGGTGGTTCAGTGGTTCGCACCGTTGCCTCGCAGCTAGAAGGTCACCAGTTCGCGTCCCGGTGAGGACACCCGGGATCTTTCTGCGTGGAGTCTCCATGTTCTCCCCGTGCAGCGTGGGTTCTCTCCGTGTTCTCCGGCTTCCTCCCACACAGTCCAGAAACATGCTGAGGTTAATTGGTGATTCTAAATTGTCCGTAGGTGTGAATGTGAGTGTGCTTGGTTGTCTGTCTCTAAGTGTAGCCCTGTGATAGACTGGTTACCTGTCCAGGTGAACCTGCCTTCACCCTGAGTCAGCTGGGATAGACTCCAGCCCCCCATGACCCTGGTGAGGATTAATCAGTGTATAGATGATGAATGGATTATCACGAGAGTCAATCAAAAGCAGGACTATCGCACAAGAAGAACAGCGTGAGTTTATGAACCCATATAAAGTTTAGTGTAAAGTACCATTTAAAGTTTAGAGTTTAATCCCAGGGTCAGACACACTGCATACTACACATCCTACACTGCAGCCTTTGTAATTCACCAACTATATAGTTTCAAATCATAAATTCACCATAAAATCGATTAATTGTTTAGTCCTGGTCCTAACAGGAGGGCAACTGATGCTAAAAAAAATTACAGAAAGCTGTAGAAAATGCACTATAGAAAATATAGCAGAAAACAACATTCTTAAATTCGTTGTGCAGATTTGCAGACATGATGCATTTCAGTTTAAAAACCGCTTCACTAATTTTAATGCAGGGTCCAAAATGTGCACTGGAAAGTGTATGATGAAGGGATGAAAATAGAATTAAAATAAATACTTCCCCATAAAACATGTTCAGGAGAAAGTCAAAGTCACTCCTGCACAGATCATCAAAAACTCAGATATTCATAATGATCAGTGTGTTTAAAACTATTTCAATGAGTCACAGTCGGGACTCGTTTTCATGGAAAGTTTCAAGGAATTAAACGGTGCTGCAGTGTTTAAATATGTTTTTTGTACCTTCCAGCTGCCCATTAGTTTCCCTTTATTTTAATGCACTTTCCAAATCGACTCGCGGAGCCTTGGAACCTGCTCAACATACAGCGGCTAATGCTTCCTAATGAAGCACATGTGCGCCTTGGTTTTCATTAAAGTTACTTCATTTTAGAGTTCTGATGGTGTTAAAATCGTGGAGCGATCTGTGAATCCTCCCTGGCGGCGCATTCAGACGCTCAATTGAGGCTCACGGCAGAGGCATTCAGCTGCCAAGAAGCATCACATTCATAAGCTGTGGTGTTTGGAAACTCAACAGGGAATACAAATAATTAAACTAGCGCTGCTTTCAAAACAAAACCTTTCTATGTACCGTTACTTACAGTCAGCACCCAGTCGCTTACACTGGAAGCACATTACGAAGGGATCTGTTAATGGGCGGTACGACCAGGAACAACAAACACAACGAGCTAAACCCGTTTTGCTCTTGACTCTGACATGTGCCTGTTCAATGGATGATTCCAACATCCAACAGATACTGTGATTAAATGGGTCATGTTAATTTTGCATCCTCCACCTCTACTGTATAGATCTGGGGTTGTCCTCCCTAATGCAGTTGGTAGAATGGCTGTTCCACTACGAGGCAAGTTTAACATACCCGGGCTTTGTTTGTGTTGTGCTGCTTTGACAAAACATAAAACCCTAATGAGAGATAATGGGAATCAACTGTCTTTGTTAACCCAGCTTTGTCTTCTTCAGGCTTTGTGTGCGCTCCCATAAAAGGAAGCATTTGACTTTATTTGACGCTTTTTCGGTGCAAAATCATGTGATTGCCTGCTTTAGTCAAGAGGAAAGGGTAGTTATAATGGAGAGCTATGACGAATAGGACGGCCCTGATTATTTATTTATTTTTGCCCCCAATCCAACATATCCATCCATCATCTATATACCGCTTAATCCTCACTAGGGTCATGGGGAGCTGGAGTCTATCCCAGGGTGAAGGCAGGTTCACCTGGACAGGTAACCAGTCCATCACAGGGCTACACTTAGAGACAGACAACCAAGCACACTCACATTCACACCTACGGACAATTTAGAATCACCAATTAACCTCAACATATTTCTGGACTTGAGGGAGGAAGCCGGAGAACCCGGAGAGAACCCACGCTGCACGGGGAGAACATGGAGACTCCACGCAGAAAGATCCCGGATGTCCTCACCGGGATGCAAACCGGCAACGGTGCTAACCACTGAGCAATATAGCAATTTTATATTTGGTTTCTACCAATCTGATCCGACACTATTTCCTTAATAATAGACACCTTAAGTCTTGTAGATTTGCTGTAGTACCTGATCGTGCCACCAGGTGGATCCAGTTACTGTTTATTACTGTAGCAACATGAGGAGACGGACACTCAGACTACTGCCGTGTTTCCAAGCAGAGAGCATTGTGGGAGTTTAGATAGCAACGGGCACCATGACAAAGACTACTGTGATGCTTAATAAGCTCTGGCTCATGTCACTGACACATCCATGACTGACGAGGACAGTGTTCCCACATCCCCGTGACATTACATCCCTCAGGTGGTTAATTCCTGCATTTACTTGTGGTCAGCTGAAAAACAAACATTTTAAATAATTAATGTAATTAATCCATTGTTGTGGGGAGCTGCAGTGAGCTTGCACTTTTTGCTCCACAACTGTTTTGTGCAACTGCTCATTTTCTTGAACAAAGATAAAGAGTTCAAAGCTGGCATGAGTCAAAGAAAGTCACAACGGCTGCATTAATGGGAAATACGTCAGAGCAAATAATCCTTTAAGTCGGCTGGTAGTGTCAGGAAGCGGTTAGCTTAATTTGTTGTAATGACGGAAAGCATGGGCGAATCGTATCGTCTGTTTCACCCTGACGCACACAATTAGTTTAGTTTAGTTTAGTTTAGTTAGCACTCTCTCCCCTTTAAAATGTTGTTTTCACATTTGTGTGATGTTTAAACTCTGGTTAGCCGAGAGGTCAAATTTCATCAAGCTAAGTTAATCACCTTCGGTTTAATATTCAGGACACAAAGTCACATGCACAGATAAAAGTGGTATTCATCCTCTTATCAACAACAACTAAACATACGAGCACGTTTCCAAAAATATCAGCGCTTCTTTGAAAATCCTGTTGGTTTTCCGAGGGGCCAGAATGACTCACTGATGCATCACATCCTGTCATTTGGTAAACATCAAACACAATTAAGGACATGGGGCGATGCATGTGCTCTCGTGATTATGAAGAACAAAGCGTTTGAGATTAGTGCGCATGGAGTAAGTGGGAGACGACAGTGGGAGCAAGTCATGCAGGCGGCGTTCTTACAGCGGCTCTATTCAGCCGAATCGGTGGAAGGACAATGTCTTTGTTTATCCCGTCTGTCTTCTCCTGCACCATGGTGAGGCTGCTGCAGATTTACACCCAGAGCCCTATCGGAGGAAAGAGCAGATATGAAAGCATGAGGTTAAAAACTGTGCATTCTCACGTCGCGCTGGATAATAACGGCTGCTAGTTAGCGCACGTAAACGGAAGCGGGGAGCGTTTTTAGGAGCTTAAAGACAGACGACTAATTTTGTGAGTGCTTTGAGAGGAAGCCTTCCAACCTCCAATTTAAGGAAATAAACACACAGCCGCACACACAAGCTCAGTGTGACTCAAAATTCATTCTGTCTTCTGGTCCTGGCAGGGGAGTGTTGGCAGCACTCTCCGATCTATCACCCTGGGCCCATAGCTACAATTTCACCCATCTAACTAGCACTCTTTTTCCCTGCACCATCACAGAATTCTCTCAAATTCTTAACCTTCCTTTCATTCTTTTTGAGTTAGAGGAGAGCAGCCTCTTGCTGCCGCTTTCACTGGCTTCGCTTTCCCCGTTGTTCCCTCTTATTGGACTCGCGGCAAACTTTACTTTAGAAGTTCTGTGTTTACCCGCGTATGCAGGCAGGAATGAAACAAGGACAGAACTGCCATTAGGAGTTTAGAGATGGATAGGAACTTGAGGCCGTCTTTGCTCAGCAACGTTCAGGCGGAGCGGGGCAGACAGTCACCGGTGGGTTATAAATCATTAAAAGCAAGGTATATAGCCGTCCACTGAAAAACAGCTCTTATGTAACTGATGCTGGCCATTTGCCGACTCGAAAACACAGTAATGAGTGCTGGCAAACATAAGTCACAATGTAATACGATCTGGCTTAAACGGCTTGTTTAATTGATAGCGCTGGGTGTGCTGGAGCTCAAAGTGAGTAATCACCTGAAATTAAGGCAGATTTAAAGCAGATCAAGAACCAGCTCGCGTTCTCCAAACAGAGAGCTAAGCTGGCGTAAAAGCCACCATCCTGACAGAGATTCCCCTCTGGCTTGTGTAAACCTTTGTTTCTACTACAAAAGTACCGAGACACCTCCTGCTGTCATCCACTGTCTTCACACGAGTCTTTCCGTGGCTCCATCCATAAGATTCAGGAGTCTCATTAGGCTCAACCAGAGACTTTTCCTTCACATCTCTGTCTCTCGTTCTGTTGATCCCACTCTGCCCCATTAACTTTGCTAATTAAAACTTAAGCCTTCCCCATGGGGAGATGCTCCATTTCAACTGGCTCAAGTTCCCACATTCATTACCAGCTCCGGTGGGAAGAATGCCATTGATAAGAGGTTATCCCGTGGCTGCGTGATGCTTCGCAGGTGCAGCAGCTGATGAAGTAGACGAGAGCAAAACGGGGAGTAAAGGGTGCGGAGCTGTAAATTACACAGCTACAGCATAAGCAACGGCTCTAATGGGGTTATATAAACCACTCTAGAGGGAGACCACATGGAAACAGCTAGAGGCAGCAGTATGCAAAGCCCAGACTGGTGAAACAACACACACACACACACACACACACACACACACACACGGGTTTCATCATCCACGTGCAGCTTCACCTGCCAACACGCAGCATGTGAGTTCACACGCTGATCTGTAGAAACATGGCGAGACAGATATTGGGATCTGGGTCACGGGCTTCCTCCTTACAGTACTCATTTATGCTTGCTTAGCTCTTCCTCTCGTTAAAAGTTAATTGATCAATTACAGCCGTTAATTAATACGCTGTAGTTTGCTAATGTGATAGCCTCGACCTAAGTGGGCCCATGATGAGAAAGGATTAAAAATCAGAAGCCATTACAAGACGCCAGGTCGGATTAGAGTGAAGATCATTTCTAGAGCGAGCGGCGGCGGCGGCAGAAGTGATGTTGGTGGGTGCATTCAAGTATATTCCCAAAACTGCTCAGTCATTAGCGAGGGCTTTAATTACACTTTGTATGCATTTGAAAAGAAGCTGTAGATGGAGAATTCAGAGCGAAGCAACGTCGAGAGTACAGGAAACTTTTTTTTCTTCTCCCCTCCAAATCTATGTATAGATGTGAGTGCAAACTGCTGGCTGCTGAGTGAAGCTCTGATACGAAGAACATGAAAGCTAAGCAAAGGAGTAACACAACAACAACAACAACAAAAGCCACAATGCACAAACATACAGCGTAAAAGCAGCAAAGTAATCCCTCAACAATAAACCGTATGCTTTTTGCCAGATGAGCTGTAAACAACCTGAAGTGAAAATGCTAAAGAACAGCGTTTTCTTTGTTAGCCTCACAAGAAACCAAATGCAAGGTTTACTCTAACTGCTGGCAGACTAATGTGCCTGAGAGAGGCTTACACATACGTCAATTCAATGTAACAACCACACTGACGGCAAGCCAAGGTGAATTAGTGAACGAGTCGAGGCCACGTTAGCGACGTGTTAGCAAGCTGCAGCTTCAACAAAGTGCATCGCTGCAAAGTCAGAGTGTAAAACTCACCTGCTGCACAAGAAACTTCTCCTCCAGTCAAGCCAGAGTCATGTGAAGTCTTAGCGGAAACTCACACTGCATACAAATGAACTTTTATCTTCAAATCCCTCTCCTGTAATAGTCCTTGCAACGTTGAACACAAAAGGCAGCACATCGCACGCTCGCAGCTGCAGCTAGCTAATTATCCTAATGACCTGTCAATCAAACATCAAAGGAGACACTCAGGAAAGAGCAGGAATTCAAATCTGTCAGATATGAAACCCAGATCCTTTAGACCTTGTATCTCTATGCACAAATAACATTTACAGTTTAGTAAAACACCAGTTTCGACAACAAACATCTCTTCGTTCAGCTGACTTTTCTGTATCAGGGGACCAGTTCAGTCTTTTGTTAACTTTCTTGAGGAAGGAAGTTGCTCTGGCAGAGGCTTGAGATGGGTCATAAAACAGAGTTAATCGTCTGTACTCTGTGGTTTAACCTTTGCCGTCCTACAAAGCGATTTTCAATGTTTCTCATTCCCCCACCCACAAATTAATTGCAGCAGAGCTGCTACGCTCGGTGCTGGTCTGCCATCGAGATCAGCTGAAGGGTCAGTGGTTTGCCCAAGGACATGTTGGCATGTGACGGAGCCAGGAATCGAACCGACGAACTCTGCAATTAGTGGACAACCCAGTCTATGAACCAAGCCTCAGCCTCACAGCCGGAGGGGCACGTTTCTAGCCTTGGGTCTCCCAGAGGGGCAGTAGTGGAAGAACCAAGAGGATGGGAGGGGCAAGAAAAGCCACTGATTTTCTGATGTGGATTTTGAACTGGAGTAAGTTATCGATCTGCAGCAGCCAAAAAAGAAATCGAAAAGCTTGATGGATTACACAGGATGCTGGATGTGAGGACTGATAAGCTCTTCCAGAAACTTGGGAATCTTCCAGGACAAACACCAGATACTGCAGATGAAGGACAAGTCATCACTGATGTCTGCATCGAGCCGCCCCGCTGGTCAGGATGTCCGGACAAGACCAAGAGACGGAAGGACAAACACTTAAAACCTGCAGCATATCTGAAGGATCACAGAAATGTACTACGAATCTGTAGCAGGCCAACATAGATGACAGAAGTCACGCACAACTCGTGACTATATATGATTGTGTGTCTGCTTGAGCTACAGCACAGCTCAATTACTGCAGCCCTGGATGAGAATGAAAAGGTTTTGAATCATTAGCACTGCTGTTTGTCTTCATCCTAAATCCTGTACATCACAAGTCAACTCTATTAGCGGTTCACCTTTGTTGATGACAGTCATTCACTTAGTGACATTATTTGGTGTCAAAACACCTACAGCCAATCTGCGACTACAATAACCGTCACGAATCTTTGCTGCTGGCAGAGAATGAGCGCTCCCGCTGAAAAGAACATTTTAATCTGAGTATTGCATTAGCTAGGAGGGGATAAATGGGACAATCCAGCGGTACATAATGTTCCTGATGATAACGTTAACGGCACGTCTTTGACATGCTTATGAGATTTCTTAAACAAACCAATGGGGAGCGAGGATTGTGCTGAGCAGGCAGATAGATAACGCCACGGGGACGTCGGTGTGATGGGCTCGTGTTTACCGCCAGCCTGCCAGAGCGACCGGGGCATTCAAAAAGAATGCTAATACGGTAAACATACACAGCTACGCACCTGCGTGTGTCAGCTGTCTCACGGCTCCGATGCACATACGCACACACACAGAAAATCAATCGGCGAATCAGTTGCTGTGCGTCATGCAGCCAGAGCATCATTGATTTCCCAGAACAAAAGGAATTCTTTAACTTTACTCTGTGCTCTCGTTCTGCCTTCAGCCGCACACTGTTTTCTCTTTAATGTCAGTGGCACGGCGCTTGTAAAAGACAGCCAGCAATCAAATTAAAAAAGGCCAACGGACGGTTATACAACTTTTCCGTAATAATGAGCGAGCTACTTCGTCTTTATTTAGAATTTCAACGCATGGCACGGTCTATAACAGACTTACAATACATTATATTAGCACAACAATCCCTCTGAAATTTCTTTAGGGAACCATATAATCCTCTTTCTTTTTTTAAATGAAAATCGGCTCTTGCACAGCGTCAGAATTTATGGCGACATAAAAATATAAATACCCACATCCTGGTACAGTGACAGCTTCCAAACGTCTGACGAGAACAGTCACTTCACTGTACCGAAATGAAATTACCTTTACTTGTCACTTCATTTCCCGTGCACCTGTCAGTAAGCAGGTGTGCAGAGATTTGCTTTATTTGCATGACAGTATTTGTTTGTTTTTTCATGTTTACTCTTTCTGGTGAGGATTCAGCTGATATTTTAACAAAACTGCAGGTAATATTAGCAACCACTTAAAAATACGCAAAGAGCTAAAGTAGAAATGCATCATAAAACTATGTCGAACACTAAAAAACAATCTTTACTTTCCACCACGACGGAGCGGGTATTTGTTTATCTCAGCTGTCGTCCGGACACAGAGTAATTACTTCAGTCAAACAGTGTAATTTCTGCAAACTCATGGCTCACCCCACAGATGTTTTCATTTCATATGC